CGATATTTGTCAAGGACGCTTGGGAAATAATGGTATAGAGATGCCCTGCAACCTGTACAGGAGACGTCTAAATCGTTCTCTTTGGTTGGATTTATGACTTCAATAGAAACGGGCAGATATCCGTGCACAATAACGGAACATGGATATTGTAATATGACGTTAGTATCACTTCCAACTTGTATGTTTCGTATGAAAGTGAAAATAGACATCACAAACAACTATGGTTACACTGAATTCCAATTTCTTGTTTCATAAGAAAATGGTCTTTACAAATGAATTATAATTTACACTTTAATAACATCGTATTTCTATATTTTATGGCGAGGTGTAGGCAGCATGGCCTTAACTAAGACGTCACAGACTGCCCCAGTTTGATGAGGGCATAAAATAATTCACAATATACCTGGCTCACTGGTTACACTTGTTTTGTATTTTTTTAGCTTATTTAATGTAGTTCTGTAATGCACAATGTGATTGATATATTATCAAGTCCGTACTAGACCTCCAAACCTTTCCAGCGGCAGAGCCTCGTTTTGAGATTTCCACGATTTCCAGGTTTCTGTTCCAGTGCTCGTTGTACGACAGAGCACGCTGCACGACATGTTTGCAAGGATTATAAGGAACTTAGTGTTGCAATATACAAGTGCTTAGATGAATCAAATAATACTGATTAATATTTATGTATCCAGTTATACGAATTGGTCTAAAAATTCTGGACTGGTTATTGTACTAAGTTAGGCAATAGGACGGAACCCAGTCAACAGGAAAAGAGACTGTTGTGTAACCAATGTTTTGACTTGGGTAACAAACGTCTATATTAATGATAGATGATTGTAACGATATTATTAGAAATTTATCTCTATGTGTATTCCAATAATAACTGTAACAATGTCATGAACGTGTAACACACCCCAGATTGTGTACTACAGACCTTTCGACACATCAGCACAACACATATATAACAATAACAAGCGGATACAGCTGGAACATTCCCAGAGACCACACAAACCGTTTTTGTTTTGTTGTTGTTGTTTTGTGTGTTTTTTTAGTGTGTTTTTTTTTCAATATTCTAACCCGGACCTTCACGGGTAGGGCTTTAGTATTGCACCAAGAGCTAAGCAGTAGGGAAACTAATGAGGCTCAGGGACAGACTATCCCTGTCTCTGTACATCCCTCTGTGTATTTGTCTTTATTTCTCTAACCAGAGAAGATCAGGGTTAGAATATTGATCTTCAGTAACCCATGCTTGTCGTAAGAGGCAACTAACGGGATCGGGTGGTCAGGCTCGCTGAGTGGGTTGACACATGTCATCGGTTCCCAATTGCGCAGATCGATGCTCATGCTGTTGATCACTGGATTGTCTTGTCCAGACTCGATTGTATACAGACCGCCGCCATATAGCTCGAATATTGCTGAGCGCAGCGTAAACCTAAACTTTCGGTATGGACTTACCGAAACAAATCATCAAAAATTCAAATTCAACTTATAAAAGTGAAAAACAGCGCGATGAAAAAAAACGCGCGAAATCGTAGTTCAAACGATTCACTCATTTTCCCCCAATGTTTGGGGGGGAATTCAAGTGGTTCCAAAAACTGGGCTGCGCTCAAAGCACGTGAGCAGTGAAATAGGTTCGCGCAACTTGGAAGCGGGTTGTCCGGTGAGTACCCGGTGAAGGCTTTGGTGTGAGCTATTTTTCTAATGTTTTGTTGATATCTCACAGGCGCGAGCTTTTTATATGTCATGACAGTAAATTAACTGTTTATATAATTTTATTTGTCTATTTCACCACACGTTCTTCTTATCGAGTCACTTTCTCAGTTCGATACTTAAAAGCAATGTCATTATTTAGCGTTGACACAATTTCTAACTGTGATATAGATATGTCGTTGTCACAGACAAAACTCAATGTCTTGTTTTATTGACACCTGTGTGTCTGCCTGCCTGTCTGCTAATGACAATATTCAATACACAACTGCATTGATTTATGGCCCGAGTTCGGTTTCTGTCACATTATGTAATTACACAGACAGGCAGGTGTGATACTTGTACACATGACATGTTATGATGTCTGTTGATTGCAAAATGTTATACACAAAAAAATGAGCATGTATTTACAAAACCCAACATCTCTCTATATACACACACAATGAGCCATGAGGGCATCTGCAAATGAACCAGCCGTTACACTTGATTGCACACCCACCCGCTCTGACTGGGTTCGGTATCCCCGCTGCTTCGTTTTTTGGGAAGTAAACCCAAGTACAAAATATTGCACTTTTTGATTTGTGATTGTACGCTTATAATTTTGTTTATATGTTTTTTCATAACCAGCAATGTATATTATATGTCATGAATAAGTGATAATTGTGTATTAATTATGTTTGATTTTTTGGTTGCATGTGACCTTTAAGGTGGATAAATCTCTATTACGAATCTAAGAGAGGGAGAGAGAGTGTGCGAGAGGAAGAGAGAGAAAGACAGAGCGAGAGAGACAGAGAGAAAGAGAGAGGGGGAGAGAGTGAGTGTGGGAGAGGAGGAGAGAGAAAGACAGAGAGAGAGAGACAGACAGAGAGACAGACAGAGAGGGGAGAGAGAGGGGGAGAGAGAGGGGGAGAGTGAGTGTGGAGAGGAGGAGAGAGACAGACAGAGCGAGAGAGACAGAGAGACAGAGAGAGAGAGAGAGAGAGGGGGAGAGAGAGAGGAGAGGAGAGGAGAGAGACAGACAGAGCGAGAGAGACAGAGAGACAGAGAGAGAGGGGAGGGAGAGGGGGAGAGTGAGTGTGGAGAGGAGAGAGAAAGACAGAGCGAAAGAGACAGACAGAGAGGGAGAGAGAGAGAGTCATTGTCTGTGTAAATTGCGTTGTCGACTCTTTATATATATTTCTAGGATATGTATAGACACAAAACATAAAACCATTTATGTAGAATAAACATTTAATGAAACTTAAGAATGAAATACATTTGGAGATGCTCAGTGCCTGGCGTTGAGTCACGCAATTCGTTAACACACGCTCGTGCACCTGCACAGAGAGAGACCTTCACACAGACACACACAAATACACACACCCAATTACTTACACAATCATGCACACACATGCAAATATACACACATACGTCGACACGAAACTCACGGGTTAATGAGTGCGTGGGTGTGAATTTAAGCCGCCTTTAGCAACATTCCAGCAATATCACGGCGGGGGACACCAGAAATGGGTTTCATACATTGTACCCATGTGGGGAATCGAACCCGGGTCTTCGGTGTGACGAGCGAACGCTTTAACCACTAGGCTACTCCACCGCCGACACAGTCAGTTAAAAAGTGGATATCAATCTCGAATGATTTCAAACAAAAGGGCAAGTTCTCTCCTATCTACATCATTTGCATTATACATACCATTCATTAAAAACGTTCAACTTAATTTGCAGTTTATACTCCGAGGGAGCCAATAATGTTGGATGATCCCCAGGGAGTTGAGATTGAAAAATACAATGAGATTGACACCCAATGATAGAGGGGAAAACGAAGCGCCTTTGAGCAGCTGAGCTGAGCTGGATATTGGCGCTATACAAATATGATATACACATGTATAATATACTACCCATCAAAAGTTTAGACACACTCAAAGCACTCACTATATGTTATGCATATAGGTGTGGTTACATCGAAGATGAATTTCTACACTAACTTTGGGGAACCAACTGTAAACTTTATGCAGATGAATTGCACGAGGATCATGCTAAACAGCATGTGCAAATATCGTGCATGTGAACAGCTGTGTTGTGGTGGAAACTATTGTTACAAATTCGTCAATTTTCACTCAGTTTCATCATTTTTTATAACCCATGACAATAATCTTTTCAACGTTGCGAACGTTTTACAATACATCAGTTCATGTGTAAACAGTACCTTTAAACAGTATGGAAAATTTTGCAAAATCTAGTTTAGAAGAGTTGACTTAAGTAGGTGGCAACATTTACACTAGTGAGTCTAAACGTTTGATGGGGAGTATATAATACAATATCACCCGCATACAACATAATGCCAATATTTATATCATTGACATCACCCACAAGTATATACTATTACATATTTTAATACTGACCGCCAGGTCGTTAATGTAAATAGAGAACAATAATGGCGAACGAAGGCATCGTTTTGTACCCTTGGGGAATTAACCATGTGAAAGCAAACACAAAACACTAAATCTACGATATATTAACTGAAAATAATAAATAAATATATTTAAAATACCCTCAATGTGTACATATATACAGTCAAAATCACCTTCATACACCACACATGCATGCCTGCACATACATGCAAAGCAAGGATACATGTATACATGCGCGCGCACACACACACACACATATATATATTTACCTGTTCACATCCAGAGTTATACGTTTATGAACACACAAGTATACGAAATAATATACTCTGCAAAATAAGAAACGCAAACTATGAAATGTAAAAAATCTGACAGAATTTTGCTGGCACAAATTCCAAATATAAATTTCTCATATCTGCATGTACCGGGATTCAATGTGTCAGTAGAATAGCGCCAACATAGTAGGGAACCGTCAGCGCGCCGCAGGGAATATCCCGAGACGACTAGCTGGAGGCGTCAATCTGACTGGTCAACTGCGACGTCCGTGGTGTCAAGGACACAGAAGATGGCAACAACAGCGATGGAGACATGTTTGGCTCAGTGCGCTCTTCCCCTCAGACGGAAGACGCCATGTTTACAGACGTCGTGGTGAACGTTACGCTTTGAAACTGCAAACAGGAAGTGGACAGGTTTGGTGGCGGTAGTGTAATGATATGGGCTCCACCACCCATACCGGTAGACTTTGTACACGTCCAGGGCAATTGATTGGCACGTTACACAGATGCAACTCTTCGGCCACGCCTTTTTACCATTATACGTATGACAAACAAGCGCCATTTTTCAACACGACAACGCCCGACCTCACACGGCAAGACTGACTACGGCCTTTTCAGGAGCCACAACATCCAAGTTCTGCCATGGCCCCCCAGGTCTCCGGAACATTTCTGACCGTGGTCACGTGAGACCAACAGTAATAGAGCCTCCAACAGTTGGCACACGCCCTGCAGGAAGAGACGGTGAACATTCCCCAGGCCACAATTTGTAATGTGATTGTCCCATGGGGTGACGATGCCAGACACTTCTGGACTCCCATGGGAGCCAGGCAAGACATCGAGAACATGACCTTCCGCTTGACATTCGATTGTTTCATGTGTGTCATGATAAACCTCGGTGAATGACAATAGCTTGTGCCACAAATGAACAACGTATTGTAAATCTGTTGAATATTTGTATAATACATTAGGTATACATTGGAAAACCACTTTTGCGTTTGACGTTCTTGCAGAGTATATAACATTATAACTATCACGAGGTCCACCTATAGTGCGAGCCCGAACACGCACAGGGCGCCATGACAAATATGCTTTTAAGGGTCCACTGTTCTCGGTGCCCTTAGTTTGCTACCCTCTGATATCTTGGGCAGATCAGGAACATGCCCTGGCACCCCACCGGGAGATTCTGGGTAAGACAAACAGCTGCAGGACTGAAAGTCTACATATTCTTCAAAAGGTTCTATGTGGGTTTGACATGACAGTGATTCTTTGGATACCTCCCATTCGCTGTCTGGGGTGAATGGTACCGGAGCTGATAATCCTAACATGCCTGAGTGAAGTTAGCAGCGGGTTCGTGTCCGTTATTCGGTTTTTTCAAATGTCGAATAGCATGCCAGCAGCAGGTTCGTTATGCAAAGGCTGCACACGAAACATCTACAGTGTTGTGGTCATGCACACTGAAACCTATGTTCCTTTTACAGGCATAAAACGAAACGTTTACCTGTACCTGGTTCGTTATTCCGTTTATGTCCATCAATTCGATCAAATATAGGATAACAAATATAACATACCATAAGAGCTAAATAACTAAACAGTTGTTTGGATACAGACACATATTATGTTACCTTATATTTGATAGATCTGATGGGTATAGAGTGAATAACGTCAAACGAATAACGAAAAACCAACCCACCAGGATCACCCGAACCCCCTTTGCTTCATTCATCTATTAAAATCTTGAAAAAAACCCGTGAAGATCCGAGTTACAACTGATCTTCAGTAACCCATGCTTGGGTAAGAGGCGACTGACGGGATCGGGTGGTCAGGCTTGCTGACTTGGCTGATGTTCCTGATGTTGATCACTGGATTGTCTAGTCCAGACTCGATTATTTACGGACCGCTGCCATATAGCTGGAATATTGCTGAGTGCGGCTTAAAACTAAATTCACTCACTAAAACCTGTAAAACATAATGTTTGACTCTACTGTTGTCTTGAGACTCGCACTAATCAATGGGTGGTATAAGGGCCTTGTCTCCAAAGTAGAAATATCGAAACATTTCTCCTGCTGCACAATCCCACGTCCTTATTGACAATGCGTTCAATTTATGGGCAATCAACTGCGTTCGGATCCAGGTATGTACTGCATAGTTTTTATTCTGCCAGTCAAAAGGTTTTGCCCCATACTGAAGCGCAAAGCTCTCTCCCGGATTTGGGTGGTTCATGGAGGTGGCCTCTGTGTGGATTAGGTTGGGGTACTTGTGTGCGAGCTTGGCCGGGAGTTGGACGGAATGGTAACCCCAGACCTTGTCATCAAATGTCTTGTACTCCTTATACCAAATCTTCATGAAGTCAGCCCACGGCCTCGCCACCATGATGCCGTTACAGAGGCCGTCGGGAGTCTCGTACCCCATTGTCACGTCGAAGCTGTCAGGAAAAGAACAACTTCAAAGTGAAAGAGATTTGAATTTTTTTAATTTAACAATTTTTGTTATTAATTTTTATTTTAAATTTTAAAATTTGAAAGAATCATGTTTTCTGTCAAAAGCATCATTTGGGATATTTAGTTGCCAACGGAAAAAAACTGTTTTAAAAAAGCAATAGTGGAATTGCTCAAACAAAACCAAAATGCTTATTTTGAAGCAATGGACGAAAATGTCAGTAATAAACCGCCAGGCCCAAATCCTGGACGTTGAACTGTTACTCGTTTATGAACAAACCTGGGCGGGGAGTAGCCAAGCAATATGGCGACGGGGAACACCAGAAATGATATTCACACGCTGCACATGTAGGGAATCGAACCCGGGACACTGGCGTGACCAGAGAACACTTTAACCACTAGACTACCCACCGCTCCGTGCAAAGAGAATGGGTATGATCTTATTATATAGTATGGCAATGATACAGTAAAGTGATAAGGGACACAGCGAAGATTATCCACACCCATTTCTTGTCGGATTAGACCCGCGAAGGTCCAGGTTAGAATGAACCTTCAGTAACCCTTGTCGTAAGAGGCGACTAACGGGATCGGGTGGTCAGGCTCGCTGACTGGGTTGACACATGTCATCGGTTCCCAATTGCGCAGATCGATGCTCATGCTGTTCATCACTGGACTGTCTGGTCCAGATTCGATTCTTTACAGACCGCCGCCATATAGCTGGAATATTGCTGAGTGCGGCATAAAACTAAACTCACTCACTCACTCTTGTCGGATTACAATATTCAAATACTTACTGAAACAGGGGCTTGAATGACTTAACGGCAATCACATCGAGATCAACGTATATTCCTCCGTACTCCAAGATGGCTTCCAGTCTGACAATATCTGACTGGTGTTCAGGAACTTTGATGGTGCGTCCCATGATTTCGGTTGGAGGATTCCGTACCACGTGAACAATCTCAGGGACTCGTTCCATTGTCTGCTCGTAATATGTTCCTTCCGGAATGAGGTCACACCAAAACAGGATGCGTGTTGGTTTGAGGACAGTACGGACTGACAACAAGGATATTAAATGGTGAAAAAGAAAGGTGTTTCTCTTGGGGCCACCGTACCACGTTACATGAACAATATTAGGGACCACGGATTCCTTATGAGTTGTTGACCTATTAAAGTCTACAGTTTCGTTGAGTTTTTCGTAAAATGTCGGACTCCGAGTATAATTGAAATACACAGTTTTATTTTTAGTTGGCACGCGACATATACCCGGATATATACATTTAGGGCTATAAAATGTTGGTTGTTCACCACGGGGGTTATCTTGTTCCACAGGGGGGTTATCTTGTTCAGCAGGGGGGTTATCTTGTTCCACAGGGGATCCATCAGCGCTGCTGTTCATCGTTTTGGAACTAAATACCCGTTGGTACACCATTAGAGGTGTATATTTCAATGATGTCAGGTTGATCACGATGATAACGACTGTAAACATCATCAGCACAAACAGGAATTTTTGTTTGCAAGCACAGTTGTACACGCACTGGAAGAATATCCTGAAGACGAGAAACAAATCAGGTGGTGATTGAATGTTTTGAGTGTTTGGTTTTGCGGCAATATCATGGCGCATCCGTGAAGATCCGGGTTAGAATTGGTCTTCAGTAACCCATGCTTGTCGTAAGAGGCGACTAACGGGATTGGGTGGTCAGGCTCGCTGACTTGGTTGACACATGTCATCGTATACAAGCATAGAAACTCACGATGTTGATCACTGGATTGTCTGGTCCAGACTATTATTTACAGACCGCCGCCATATAGGAGGAATATTGCTTAGTGCGGGGTTAAACAGCAAGAAAAAATATAATGGCAGCCCATGAACAATCGATGCCAGGTAAATAAACGCCAAAGAATACCCAGTTTTGACTATCCTCCTGTTTGGCCTAGAGGGCAAAATAGCTATGAAAGTCATAGAGTTGATCCCAAGGAGCTTGTGAATAGCGGAACCCTGTGAGTATTAGTGGATTGAGTTGTTCCTAAGCAGCCAGTGCTTGTGTGAACCCTCTGAACCCTATGGGGATTACTGGGTAGAATTGAGCCCAGGCGCCTCGATCCTTTCTCGATTACTACATTTTTTAAGGCTGAAATATTACGGAGTGTGGCATTAGAACACAATTACAGTTAGCTTCGCGAGGAGAGCGAGCTCGTAAACTACTTTGCTACCTAACAACACTTAACTTATAAAAAAAAAATAGTCTGCGTTTGTTCCTTAACGCCGCCAATAGCAACAGACAAAGGTCTTTAAGGAATCGAGTTTGGTCCAGACAATCCAGTGATTGATATCACGAGCATCAGTGTCACTTCTTACAACAAGTATTGGCTATTGAAGGCTTGTTCTAACCCACATTTTTAGTCAGTGGGTATATGACGTGTAGAAAAGAATAACGTAAGTTAATACCATATATTTTTAATAGGAAAGTGTGGTTATATCGTTGATAAACATTTAATATAATACACAAGATACATTAAAATACAATACACGACAAAAAATCATGACACGAGAATAATAAAATCACATTGTAGTGTGTGAGTGAGTTTTACGCCTCTTCTAGCAATATTCCAGCAATATGACGGCGGGGGGACACCAGAAATGGGCTTCACACATTGTACCCATTTGGGGAATCGAACCCGGGTCTTCGGGGTGACGAGCGGACAATATAATCACTAGGTCACCCCACTGCCCCAGTCACACTGTAACTTCGGGATCGGTATGAAGTGAGTGAGTGAGTTTAGTTTTACGCCGCAATCAGCAATATGCCAGCTATATGGCGGCGGTCTGTAAATAATCGTGGCTGGACTAGACAATCCAGTGATCAACAGTATGAGCATCGATCTACGCAATTGAGATACGATGACATGTGTCAACCAAGTCAGCAAGCCTGACCACCCGATCCCGTTAGTCGCCTCTTACGACAAGCATGGGTTACTGAAGGCCAATATTCTAACCCGGCCCTTCACGGGTATTCCACTCACTGAACACATCTTCACACGTATGTAATACAACATATTTGGATGAAACACAGGAAAATCTTCAAGAGGGGGTATTTATATTTTAAAATTCCGAATAAAATTCGGAAATCTCAATTTGTTTCAAGAATTTAGAGAATGTTGTATGGCTGTTGAAATATGGGTGTGTTTATTCTTGACCATTCTTAACTTATATAAATTCTCCCCTAAAACGGCTGCCCACGATTTTTATACAAAAACTAATCTCTACACTGGAAATGTACTAAGATATTAGTGGCATGTTCTGGAGCTCTGACAGGTTAAACATTCAGTCTCAGACAAACAGTTGCCATTACTCACCTATGAGGAGCCTCTGTTGCCATTCTGATGATTTGGATCAAGGGCGTGAGCCTGCACTGCAAAGAAACAAAATCGATTAATCAATTGGTGAATTGGCTTCTGTCTCCCAACACGATTGGAATCGACCTGCGGTGTTTTTGTTGTTGTTGTTGTTTTCACGTTGTTACTTTAGTTGTTATTTCTTTATTGTTATTTTTTGTTTTGTTTTTGTTTTGTGTGTGTGTGTTTTGTTTTCTTTTTTAATTCATATTCTCTGTTACTTTTTTATTTTTGATTAGATTTTTTAATATATTTTTTTTAATATATTTGTGTTTATTTTATTTTATTTCCAATCTATTTTTATCCAGTTATTTTTAATTTAGTTATTTTTTGGTTTTTTTAAATTTTTTTGGTTTTTGGTTTGTTTGAGGTTTTGGTTTTCGGTTGTTTTTGTTTTTGTTTGTTTTTGTTTGTTTGTTGTTGGTTTTGTTTGTTTGTTTGGGGTTTGGGGGTTGTTTGTTTTGGGTTGGGGTGGGTGGGTGGGGTTGGGGTTCAATGACGTTGTTTGTTGTAGTATAGATGGGGAATGATATGTTAGATAGTCTAAATATACCCTCATAACTGTGAGTGACATAGGTACGCAAACATTACATTTGTGAATCGTGATTCTAAATCATGGTAAGCGTGGTTTATTCGCTTTCCTACGAATGTTCTTCGATACCGATTATTTTACTTTGTATAAATTGTATTTAAAAGAAAATAACCTGGCACCCGATCGTCACACCGAAAACCCGGGTTCGTTCGATTCCCAACATGGGGGCAATGTGTGAAGCCGCACTGAAAAGAGCCAGCGAATCTGATAGGCTGTAAATATGATATGTCCCAACACGTTTAACTTGTCTAAAATATGTCTGTTATCCTTAGACCATTCTGATTGGTTGTACGGGCTCTGGAACGATACGGGTCAGGTAAATGGTAATAATGTACGTACATACAGACTGTTTAAAGATTCTTTATCAGTAGAACCCTATGTCAGTTTATTGATAAACAGAGGTCAGCGCAGTATATTAAGTAAGTTTCGTTTCGGCTCATTGCCATTAGAAAGAGAACTGCGGGAGATTTAACCGCCCCAAAACACCGCTTATTAAACGAATTTGTAAATTTTGTAATTGCAATGCCACATAGAAAAGCCAACATATGTGACCAAAAATGTTTATATTGCATTTGTGTCGAGAATGATCAGTTGTTGCGTGTGACAGCCGGCTTTTTGTCAAGAACTGCGCAACTCAATATGTGGTAAGGACATGCTAAAAATAACATTAAACTACCGCCTGCCAAGATTGAACAAAGGAAAGGCAGTATTGTCACAAAGTAGGACAGAATATTGACACATCTGAAACGGTTAATAAGCAGCTCATTATTCTGACACCACATGTTGTGAGTGAGTGAGTTAATATTTACCTTCACATCGGCAATATTTCAGCCATATCGGGACGAGAACAATTAATAATTATATCATTGATCAATAAACTTAGAAAAAGAAAGCCTGTTGACGGAGAACAGTAAAACTACTAGTGTATTACAATGAATGCTCCCAGTTCCTACAGTGAAACATTCGCAGTCAATGAAAATAATTATTGTTATTTCAACAGAAGCAATGCATGTACTGTTTTAGTCCGTATTTCACTCGTGAGACATAAAACACTTCCAATAAATTTCGAGATGCAGAAATCATCACGGAAATGTACGGTTTCACGTGTGGCACATGAGATAAAGTGGCACCTATTGAAATGATTATAGAAACACTAGCCAAATCAGTGGGTTGCTTGTCATTATATTTCCTTAATCTCTGCAGGCGCTCGGTCTCATTAAGTACAATGTAGACAGACTTTATGGGTGACAACGTCTATATTTGGTGAGTACGACGTGTCGATGCAGATTCTTGTAACGTCATCGAGCAGCAAGGTAACGTGAAGTGGAGGTGAAGTATATATACTGAGTGTAACAAAGAAAACAACATAATTAACAACAATGGCTTGGCAGTAAGCTGATAAAGCCAGCGAGTTGACAAAGGGAAAGGCTTAGATGCCTGATGTACAAATGAAAGGGGTATTTTAGAATTGAGATGTTTATTCAGTTGATTCCGCTTGGTGGAGGGGTGCACCATAAGCGGGGGGAGTGAAATGCCATTTATGGTGGTATTTTGGCGTTTGATGTGAATGGCTTCGGTGAGTTTGCGTTTGAGTCCGTTTAATTGTTGGCAAGACTGGTGATGTCAGCCCAGTTTATGTATGCAGTCTTCGATGAGTGAGTGAGTGAGTAGTTGAAGATTTGTCCATGCTTGGTTGCATCTGTTCATCAGTGTGAGCATTTTAACGCACAATCGTTTTGGGTTTTTTCAACTGCTTGCGACAACTTCGGCCTCACAATAAGTACCAAGAAGACCGAAGTCAATGACCAGCCTCCTCCAGGTGTTCCATATACTGAAGCAAATATCGAGGTCAAGGGCACAATACTACCTGCAGTCGACAGCTTCACATATCTTGGCAGTTCCCTATCACGTTGTGTGGATATTGACGATGACGTCAACAAACCCATAGCAAAGGCCAGCGCTGCATTTGGGAGGCTGCGTCCTACTGTATGGGATAGAAGAGGTATCTCGGCCACAACTAAACTCAAAGTGTACACATAAATTTGACCGTTTTCTTCAAAATACGTCTACTTGCACTTGTGGCCATCATTATGAAGATGCCATTCATTTTCTATTTATCTGTCCAAATTTTAATACAATTCGATCGATGTGTTTCTATTACATAAATGGTGTTAATATTCAATCTGTACTATGTGGAAGTTACTCATATTCTGACGAAATCAATGAAAATATTGTAAAATCTGTACATGACAATTTTACCTTAACAAAACGATTTTTTACCTAATTGATTAATTATACTACTGTCTTTTTCATTAAGTCTTTTACTCCTCAAATGGTGTATTCTCTTGTCTGTAATGAGGAATGTATATAAAATGTTTCCCATCGCATTGTATTCGGAGAGGTATTTTTATAGGCTTATAGCCTGTTTACCAATCCGTTCATTTAATAATGAATAAATATTGTTTAAATCACTCAAAGTGTACAAAGCGGTGGTCCTCGCCACTCTGCTCTACGTTTCGCACCAAACGCCTCAGAAATATTCTCAATATCTCAATATCGCAAGAGAAGATCCCCGATACGGAAGTACTAGAGAGAGCCATTCTCCCCTCTATCCACACTCTGGCTGGCCATGTGTATCGGATGTCTGACACCAGAATTACGAAGCAACTCATCTATGGGGAATTAGCATCTGGCAAGAGAACAGTTGGAGGTCAGAGAAGACGGTTTCAAGACAGCTTGAAGGCATTGCTAAAGTCCTTGAACACAGACTGGTGGAACTGGGAAATAATTGCCCTAGACCGACCGCTCTGGCGTAGAACACTCAAGACTGGATGTACCATCTCAGAAGAGTCACGTACCCAATCTGCACAAGAAAAGCGTGCTGCACGAAAAGCTAGGACTGCAAGCACTTCAGCTACAGTAACTGAACTGAACTGTCCTATGTTAAAGTATGGGAGTTACGGTCACCTTAGCGCTAAGATCGCTTTATACAACGGCACCCTGAACTGTTATTCACTCAGGCTGCAAACTGCAGCATAAGAGGTACATAAATGATATTTACATCTATATACAACATGAAAAGTATATACAAACGGTGTGATAGGTGCAATGTACATCGAGCTAGTTACATATTAAGTTATTGAAATTATTTCTTAAATAAAGCCATAATTATTTTACAAAATATTGAGAGTTTTCTTAAAGTTCCTAGTTTCTTGGTGTTAAATAGGATATTCATTTTATACATATTTGGTCTCATATAATAATACTTCTGGATACATTTTTCTCTTTCTAATTCTAATTTGGGACATATAAATAAATAATGAAATTCGTCACCAATATCATTTAGGTTACACATAATACACTTTCTATCATTTACTTGGATTCGTCGCCATCTACCTGTCTCGATTGGAAGAAAATGATTTGAAGTTCGAATTTTTAACAAGTTATTGTAATGCAGAAAATTTAGGTATGGTTCAAAGTTGAGAGATGGATTTTTGATAATGCCATAAGTGGTTGCTTTGGAGGAGGTTTCAATTGTTGACATCCATGTTTGCTGATAAATATCTTTTAATTTACTTTTGATAACAGTTTTAAGCCAAAATATACTCTTAAAATTTTGGGATTTCCAGATAAAACTCAGTCCAAGATTGTCGAAAATTCTCTCAAGACAGATTATCCATTTATGTTCACACTTGCCAAATATATAATCGTTGAATATTAATTTATATATTAAGAGGCATAATTTTGATGATTTTCCGGTTAAAAGTTTAGCCCCAAAACATACCGTTCTGCTTTTGGTAACATTTACAAGTGGGAATCTACCAAACTCGCCATATAACATAAAGTTAGGTGTACTTTTCCTGAGTGATACTAAATATTCGAGAAAGCGTCGATGGACATTTTCAAAGCAAGAAGTATTTTCAAAACCCAAGACGGGGACTACAGATGTCCAACCTGTGGACGGTACTTCCGTGCCCGGATCGGATTGACCAGTCACCTCCGGACACACAAACTGTGAGTGAGTGAGTGAGTGCGTGCGTGCGTGCGTGAGCTATAATCTACCCAAGAGATGGAATCAAAATAGGTGTACAGTTACTGTTTATTCCGTCAGGCTTTGTTTTAACCATATTTTATTCATGAGAAAAGGATTGGGTACAAGTAATACAATTTAGAACACCCCAGACCCGATATTGGAACCTTTTAAACAGATATCATGTGTATGGCAAGAAAGGCACTCACGTTAATAGTGGTGCTCAGTCATAGGTATCACACCGCCATGTGTTTCTAATGATCTCAGTGCATCATGGTCGTACGCGCTAACGAACCCGATGTGACAGTTATATTACAGAACCATTGAAATACATGTTAAAGTAGTGTCAATCTTGTAGCACTTTATTTACCCATTACCAACCATTTACGCGTGTA